AAGTGACATTTGACTGACAGATGCAGGGTGACATTCTCTCAATGCAGGGCAGGGGTACTACTAGTCCAGTGCCAGAGAGCTCTGCCCCTTGGGTGGTTTTTCTAGAAATGAAGTTGGGCTGTCATACCTCAAACTGTGCATATTTACTGAGCACCTGGTGTTGAGAACACGAATGCAGTACAAACGAGGAGAGAGCTCACTCTGTAAGTGTGGATGAGCATCTAGTGGAGTAGAGCTGGGTGCCACAGAAGGGCCTGCCCCTGCCCTGGGACAACTCTCCATCTCTGCTGAGAACCAGGACAATCAGTCACCAGCCTGTGACTCAACACCGTGGGAGCCGGAAAGGATCCTACAAGAGAGGTTCCCTTCAGATGTGCCTGAGATCTGGTCAGGGGACCCTTGTTAAGGGGCTCGGAATGTGCAAGAGGACACAGTGGAGCCAGATGATTAGGCTAAAGCATATGAAGTTTCTGGTTTTGTGGCTCAAAAAGGGCTATCAGCCAGTTCCCATGGTCCAACGTAATGCATGCCCTCAGATGCCAGTCTAAGCAGTTTGAACCTGGACCTGCAGTATGGAGATGCCACTGATGGTTTCTGAGCCGGGGAGCAGCACAGTCAGCAGGGTTTTAGGACCACTTATCGGGTAAAAGGGTATAAATCGTTGGGTGGGGGAGCTTGGAAAAGAGGGTCTATTGCTGCCAATCAGTCACGAGCATGATCATCATCAGTAGGAAAGTGGGGGCCATGAGGATGGGAAGAAGAGGTGGATGTGAGAGTTTTTGTGTAAGAAGAGCCAGCTGGACATGCAGATGGATGGGTGGCTGGCTGGATGGATGGGTAGATGTGTAGATGGATGCATGGGTGGATGGATGGATGGATGGGTGGATGGATGTGTGGATGGGTGGGTGGATGGGTGGATGGGCTCATGGCCGCAGTCTTTCATTTTCCCAATACTGGGCACAAACCTGAGAGATGGAAGGGTGAGTAGGGAGCTTTCCCACAGGGAACAGGGTGGAGTGTTTCCTCAGTGCAGAGATAACCTGCCTGACTGGACACTAACCATGACCGGAGCCTCACAGAGCCAGTGTTCTCACAGTGGAAAGCCCAGTGGATGTGCGTCTGCCTCCTCTGAAGGAGCTGAGCTGTTCTAAGGGTGTTCTCCAAGTGGGCCTGGGCCTGCCATGTTCTGACTCTCTGGAGGGCAGAGGAGGCTGTGGCAGCTCGGGGGTGCAAGGAGGAATTCCGAGCCCCCTCTCCAGGGCTCCCAGCCCTCCCTGTAACCCATGCCCACTGCCCGTTCCCCACAGGATCTGCAGTGAGGACATTGAGTGCAGCGGGCTGACCATCCCCAAGGCGGTGCAGTATCTGAGCTCCCAGGATGAGAAGTACCAGGCCATTGGAGCCTATTACATCCAGCACACCTGCTTCCAGGATGAATCTGCCAAACAACAGGTACCTGGCTGCACACTCTCCTCCCCGGTTGGCCTGTGCAGGGCCTGGCGCTGCATTTAGAGATGGGTGCGGGCATTTGCTGTTGGCTCCGTCTCACCCTGCCCAGCTGCTGGGGGCCCTCGCATTGCCCAAGGGCAGAGCTGGGCATCTTAACCTTCTGCAGAGCAAAGCCCTCTGGTTGAGTGGACAGTAGGCAGGTGCATTTCCTCCACTGGTCATGGAAGAGACACTTCAGTGCCAGCCATGGTTTCAACAAAAATCGCCTTTCTCAAATTCCACTGAAGAACATGACCTCTCCCACCCTCAACTCCCATCGTCCTACCCCCTTCTCTCTCCCCAGGCATCTTATGGTGGAAACTTGGGCTTGTTCATGCCTCCCAAGCTTGGCTGGCAGGGAGGACTCCTGCAGGGCTCTGCAACTCAACCCAAGGGTTAGGGCCATAAATGGGTTTGCTAGAGTCCAGGATTAATTGGCATCAAAGTTTCTACGCAGGAAGTTTCCATAGCAGAGTCTTCCTTATGTCTGTGTTCTGCTTTTGGATTTTGAAGTGTATTTATGTCTATTGTCTCATCTGGTCCTCACCACCATACTCCAAAGGAAGAAAATAGGGCTCAGGAAGGAGGAGGGTCTCCCAGCTGGGATTGGGCGACCCAGGATCTGAATCCAGGTCTTCTGGCTCCTGGTCTGAGTCAGTTACCATGACCTCACACTGCTCATTTATTTCAGTTGACTTAGATGTTTCTGAACTGAAAGCAGATTTTTTTTGGCCTGAGAAAAATCCACTTTGGGTATCGAATAACAAGGTCAGACTCACCTGCCTTGACCAGCAACGTGCCGCTTCTCTTCTGGCAGGTCTATCAGCTGGGAGGCATCTGCAAGCTGGTGGACCTCCTCCGCAGCCCCAACCAGAATGTCCAGCAGGCCGCGGCAGGGGCCCTGCGCAACCTGGTGTTCAGGAGCACCACCAACAAGCTGGAGACCCGGAGGCAGAACGGGATCCGTGAGGCCGTCAACCTCCTGAGGAGAACCGGGAACACCGAGATCCAGAAGCAACTGACCGGTAGGACACCCCTGCCACAGAGAGCCATGAGGGTGGGGAGCTGTGCAAGACAGCTGGCTGTGGCCCCAGGCTGGGGGCCGCCAGTCCTCTAGGCTGGGCCAAGGCACATTGCACAGATCTGGCCCGGGGATAATATTCTGGGAATCCAATGGCACTGGTCTTGGCCTCATTAGTGGTGCCCACATGGTGACCCTGGGTGATGTGCATACCTACAAGGGTCACGGTCTTTCTGAGGTTAGAGGCACTTGGAGGAAGGCCAGTGTCCAGGCAGGACCCATAGTCATCAAGCCCTGGGATTTGCCGGTGATGGGGAGAGAGTAAGACTGGCAGGGGAGGGGTCAACAGGTCTTATGCATCTGCCCTGTGTTCAAAAAATATGCTAAGCACTCAAGGTGGGGGACATAGGCGACTTATGTCACCATGAAGACCTCAAATTGGACTGGGAGGATGAGACCGTGTACAGAATAACAGTTGACAAGTATTTCCAGAATGGCTTTCAGATGGAAAATAGAGAACATTAGAAGATTCTAAGTTCTAAAATTTATGTTAAAAAACACTGATCAATCAAATGTTTTTTGATAACTTTCTATATGCACAATTTGGATCTTGACAGAGAGCTCTGAGATGCTCCCTGCCCTCAAAGAACCTGCAGTCTAGTTAAAATACTGAGAAACGGGTTCACAAAGCAAATAGGTTTGACAGACCAGGCCCACGTGGAAGGTGACATTGCAGTTGGGCCCATTTGCTAGATAGAGCCTGGCCTGGGGCCTCCTGAGCCTGGCGCTTGTGGGTTGACGTCTACGATCCCCAGGGCTGCTCTGGAACCTGTCTTCCACCGACGAGCTGAAGGAGGAGCTGATTGCCGACGCCCTGCCTGTTCTGGCCGACCGCGTCATCATCCCCTACTCCGGCTGGTGCGATGGCAACAGCAACATGTCCCGGGAAGTGGTGGACCCTGAGGTCTTCTTCAATGCCACAGGCTGCTTGAGGTGAGAGAAGAGGACACAAGGGGTCTTTTTGCCTCAGCCCCGGGCCCTTCCCCAGGCCCCATCTCAGCCAGCATCCAGCCAGGACAGACAACACAGCAGAACCTGGCACTGTCACTCGTGGGCAGGCCCCAAGACATGGGGCCCAGGTGTTCCTAACTTCCCTGGACCTAGATGAGGCTGGGGACCCTGCCACCTCCTTTGAGGGGACACAGCAGACATTAGTTAGGAATCTAAGAGTGGAAATGCCAGGATCTGGATATCCAAACTGGTTCAACCATTTCCCTCTCCTCCACCCCCTGAAAAAATGCATTTCTTGTACCATCTTGAAGAGCATTCTTTTAGACAAGTCTACTGATGTGGCTGCTCATGAGTCACTTCCCGGCTGCGGTGCTCAAACCATTTGCCATATCGATTGGCATGGAGATGGCACTGCTTTCCCCAGAGTTTTCTGAGCTCTGCTCAGGGTGTGGCATGGCCCCCGTGGGGCTGGTGGGCGTGCTTGCTCTGGGAGCAGAGGTGTCCAAGCCAGCGGGGGGCGGGGGCTGGGGGGCTGGTATGGAGCTTGGAGCTCGTGGAGCAAGGTCCCCTCTAGGGTCCCGCCTTGCCGTTCCCCAACTCCTGAGAACCCCCCGGAGTGAAGTGGGCATGTGCCTCTGTCTCCACTTGTGCTTCTCCCTGCCAGCCTCCAGGAGCAGCCTCCAGGGAGGGGGAGGCTGGGGAGATGAAACAGCAGTGCCATTAAGGACTTTACGGGGCTGCCGGGCTGCTGCACACCCCACCTGCACCAGGCAGATGGGCGCACGTTGCTTGGGAAGGAGCCTGCTGCTGCGCAGAGCACGCCTGCGTGGGGAGGCAGTGTCTGGTCCCCAGCCGAGCCACCCTCCGCTCCGTCCCCAATCCAGCACCCACAGAGCTGCTTCCTGCACCCCAGAAAGAGACTGGGCAGACAGGAGCTCGCTGCTCCCGGTCCACACGTGGCCACTAGTGGCAGGGTGTGAGCCTTGGGCTGTCAGCTGCAGAGGAGCCGTTGACACATGGAACCAATGACAGCCATAAAAGTTACGGGCCTGGGGACCACACGGACAGAAAGAAGGGCGAGAACTGAGTTCAACCGCGATGTCGTTGAAGCCTCCGCCGGGGCCAAGCATAACGGGCTGAATGATTTTTCTTTCCTTCTTGTTTCCTCCTTTCTTTTCCCCACTTCACTCCTTTCCTCTCCTCCTTCCTTCCTCCTTCCCTCCTCCTCCTACCACAACCTCCCACGTGCACCATCCTCTCTTTCTGCCTGTTCTCTCCTCTGCCTGCCCCACCACACCGCCTCCTCCCCACCCTCTCTGCACCCCACCCTCTCTGTCCTCTCCCAGGAACCTGAGCTCGGCGGACGCGGGCCGCCACGCCATGCGCAACTACTCGGGGCTCATCGACTCCCTCATGGCCTACGTGCAGAACTGCGTGGCAGCCAGCCGCTGCGACGACAAGGTGGGAGTGCGGCCCCCCGGCACCCGACACCCAGCCCCAGTCCCGTCCTCTCTGCCCAGAGCTCGAAGCCCAGGGCCACGCCTCCAATCAGTGAGGGTGGCTCCTGGGACTCCCCGTCCTGGCGTTTTTCTCTCCCAGACCCCATGAGTCAGGGCTGCCCTTTCCGGGTGCCTTCGAAGCCTGGCCCAGCGACAGGGCAGCAGCATAGTCTGGGGCTGTGGAGGGGTGCAGGCTATAGCCATGGCTACAGAGGCAGGCGCCAGGGAGAGCATGCCCGTGCGAATTCGCTCTCCCTCACGTAGATGCTGAGTGGACGTAGCTGCCTGCTTAACCTCTCTGTTCCCCAGTTCACTCTTAACTCTGAGGAGAGGGCCGTAATCACATGGACCTCACGGGGTGTTTGAAGGACTCGATTAGTTAAGAAGCAAAACACAAAGAACAGGGCCTGGCACAGACCAAGCTCCCAGCGCACATCTGCCGGCTGCGCCATGGTTGGCGGTGCCCAGCCCTGCCCTGCGGCCCGAGGAATCCACACTGCTTGCCCAGGGCCGGTCCTCCCTGAGACAAGGCCCCTTCTGCCACCACCATCTTCCCGCTGCCGCCCAAAAAGCCACAGGCAGAGCCACGCTCCTGCCCTCCCTGGACTTTCCCAGATACCAGCGCAAAGAGGCAGAGAGGAAAAGTCGTGGCGGGCGGGTCAACTGACGGCTGGGATATTTCGAGCACAGCAGGACAGTGGCTTGGGAGATGAGGAGGCACAGCAGTGCCCAGACTGCCAGGGGGCTGGCACCTGGGTCCTCAGCACCGTCTGCATGAGGAGGAATTTCATCTCCTGCTTCTTCCACTGGGAGTGACAGCAGGGCCTCAGAGGGGAGCCTTGTCACTTAGAGGCTCAGCCGGGCTCCTACACCTGTGTCACCCTAACCTTGGAAGCCAGAGTCCCTCAAACCCCAGCAGTGGCCAAACGCTGCAAATCCGCTGCCCCCAAACTTAGCCTGGGAGGTTCGCCGAGGGGAATGGGCAGCAGTGTGGGCCCAGCTGCCATCATGGGGCCCCGGTCCCCAGGCCTTGTGTGGATTTCACACCTTTAATGTTGGAGGCTGAGGGCTGGTCACAGAGAGGGAAGGGTAGAGGCAGTGGGGCGCGATGGCTTTGGAGCCTAATGGTGCCGAGGCTGCTTCTGAAGGGGCCATTGCAGGAGGGCAGACGCGTTCCTCAGTGTCCCAGGCTGTCACTGGCGCTGCGTCCACAGCGGTAGAAACAGCAGCCAGGTCTGTGTGTCCCGCCGTGTGTTGGGCCCCATGGTCGGCACTTTCCACGCTTCATCTTCCCCAGAGCCCAGTGCAGTGGGCAATGGAAACTGAGGCCCAGAAAGGTGAAGCAAGCCACTCAAGCTCACACAGCCAGGGAGTGAGAGATTCAGGTCCAGGTCCCCAAGTGTCCCTGGCGGCTCTTTCCAGACGGAGTGTGTGGTGGGTGCCTGTGCTCCCCTCTCCGACGCAGCCGAAGTGCCCGCTGCTCCTACTGGTGTGGGTAGGACATGAGCCAGGAGCCGGTCGGGGCCGGGCAGGGGCTCAGGCGCCACACTTCTGCTTGGTCCCCAGTCCGTGGAGAACTGCATGTGCGTCCTGCACAACCTCTCCTACCGCCTGGACGCCGAGGTGCCCACCCGCTACCGCCAGCTGGAGTACAACGCCCGCAACGCCTACACGGAGAAGTCTTCCACCGGCTGCTTCAGCAACAAGAGCGACAAGATGATGGTGAGCACCGTGCACTGTGCGCCAGGGCTCCGCCAAGCACCCCACCAGGCCCTCCTGCAGCCTGAGCCCAGCCCCAGGGGACGGGCCGCACCACAGCCTCGCCCTGGGCTCACGCTGCACTCGGGAGTTGGGGAGCAGGCATTCATTCATTCCTTCCTGCATGCAGAGGGGAGCTCCGTGCTCGGGACTATAGAAGCCCAGACTACCCCAGAGGCAAAAGCTCCAACCCTGTTTGAAGGCCTCAGTCTCTCTCACTGTAGGATGGGTCAAGTCTCACCCATCTTCTCCCTTACCCCCGAGGATGTGGGGACAGCCAGAACTCTGACCCCTCTCTGGCCTTGGCTCCCACTGTCTCCTGAGCTCTCCCAGAGGTCTCCCTGGAAGGAGCAGGGTGCTGTAGAGGGATGGCCAGGCCTCCTCCGCTGGGCCCGGCTGTGCAGTTGAGGCCCCAGACCCATGTGGGCCCAGGGCGGGGGACAGACCCATGTTCTGACTCTGGGAAGGGCAGAAGCATCATGACGTGAGAGCCCAGAGCAGCCTCACACAGCTGGGAGGCCTGGGCCTGGCTGCCCTGGAGCAGGCTGCCCAAGATGCTGGGAGCGCTTTGCCCTCCTTGGCGACAGTCTGGAGGACCACGGCCTGTTCCCCCTTCCATGGGGCCGCCAAAATGCGCAGAGAAAAGGCGCACAGTAGTTCCACCTCTAGGCACTTCCTCGGTCCCTCCCACCCGGAACCACAAGCTTGGGGGGCCGAGGACAGAATGCTTGGGTTGTGTCCCCTCCCGAGCCTCCCCACTGAGCTGCTCTTCCTCCTCAGAACAACAACTACGACTGCCCCCTTCCAGAGGAAGAGACCAACCCCAGGGGCAGCAGCTGGTTGTACCACTCAGATGCCATCCGCACCTACCTGAACCTCATGGGCAAGAGCAAGAAGGATGCCACCCTGGAGGCCTGCGCGGGTGCCCTGCAGAACCTGACGGCCAGCAAGGGGCTGGTGAGCAGGGCCGCGCCTGCCCTCCTGCAGCGCCCCGGCCTCTGTCCGCAGTCCAGCCCCACTCCCGGCTTTTCCCTCCAGCCTCTCCCCTGGCCGAGTCCCTCCGGCACATGCGGGCTTCCGAGCTTCTTTCTGCAGACAGGAGCAGCACCTGGTGCATGCTGGGTGCTGGGCCGGGCGCCAGGGAGAGGATGGGAGCTTCCGGGTGGTGCGCTCCTGCTGGATTCTTCTGTGCCCACACAGTCCCCTAGGCCGCATGGTTTCTATCCCAACACCTCCCCTGGGCTTCCTACCTCCCAGTCCCGGGCCGGCCTCCTGGGCTCTGCCAGGGGTGGGAGACAGGGACGGAGAGAGTGTTTGTGGCTGGAGGAGTCTCCCATTTGTTGAACTGACAGAGGTGGAAAAAGAGGGCTTGGAGTGTGGGCGGGTCCAGGGGAAGAGGTGACAGAATTAGTTTAGATTTTGAGGCCCAATATGTGTAGCTTGGAGGGCACAGGGCACAGGGCACAGGGCGGAGCCGAGGGAGGCTGTTTGCGTGGGGAGAGTGCGGCTGGCTCAGGCAGCCCCGTCCTCCAGCTTCACTCAGGACACGAGGGCATCGCCCAGCGGCGGGACGGCGTGAATGGAGGGGAGAGAACTTCCCTGACTGTGAGGGGTGAGGCTGGGGGTCTCTGAGGCCCCACACTGGCCCAGACCAGGATACGCCCAGGATGATGGGGTAGCTTAGGAGCCTGAGGAGCTGGCCCACCTCCCGGGGACCCGGATTATATCCCACGCAGCACAGACCCTCGTTTATCCGTCTTTGTCTCGGGCAAGCCCTCAACAATCC